ACGAACGCTTCTAGGGTTTTCTTAGTCTCACTGAGGCCTACCTGTAGCCAAAAGATGAAGCCGAAAGCTCGGAATCAGTTGGATATGTTCCCTCGTGAGTCATTTCTAAAAACAACGATGTCGTATTGAACCTTAAAAGCTTCTAGATTTGGATACCAATGTAACAATCTTTTAAGACTCTAACATAGTCTGGTTCTGTTTCGAGTCGTTATCTTCTTACTTCAAAAACGGTTCTAGCTTGCTGGAAATCAATCCATTTAACACGCTTAATCTATTAGTTCTATACATAACTAGTGTGTGGATGTGGATGGGCGTGGGTGGATGTGGTTCTTCTCTTTATCCATAGCCGTATCCACACCCACACCCTTATATCCGTTGTCGAGTGGTTGAGTGGCTGGTGTATCGAATTCTTTCTTTGTGTAGTTGTATATAGTCATATCCGCATCAATGTCAAAGAAGATGCATACCTGTCATCAATTTCTCTTATAAGAATAGATCTCTGACTGATATCTCGTAAGCAGGATTGGAAAGATTACATTTCTCTTTTTAGTTTTACCCTATATTCCTTTTGATGGCGAATGGGACGCCAATGCTATTACTGTTGCTGGTGGAAAAGGTCCTGGTTCTACATTTAATAGACTTTATTCTCCTAAAGGTCTTTATTTGACCAAGAGTCACACTATGTTTATTGCTGATAGTATGAATCATAGAATTTTGAAAATTAAGCAAGAAACTATAGCTGGTCAAATAATTGCTGGCAAAAATTTAAAGGGATATGCATCTGATTTATTAAGTGCACCATCTACTATAATCTTTGATAAAGCATCAAAGAGTGTTTTGATCTGTGACTATCATAATCGTCGAGTACTGCAAAAATGTGTTGGTAGAAGAAAGACATACACGAAGACAATTATTAAGAACATTGAATGTTTTGGACTGGCTCTTGATGAAGAAGGATATCTTTACGTTTCTGACACTGAACGACATGAAGTAAGACGATATGGGCTGGGTGATAGGTTTGGAACGGTTGTAGCTGGTGGCAATGGGCAAGGCCGTCGTCTCCATCAACTAAATCATCCGATGTACATTGCTATTGGAGATGACCAATGTGTATATGTGTCAGACTCGTGGAATGATCGTGTCATGAAATGGGAGAAAGGCGCAACAAAAGGTATTATTGTTGCTGGTGGCCAGAGAAAGGGGACAGATCGAAACCAATTGGACTATCCTACCGGAGTGCTAGTAGATCGACTCGACTTCGTCTACGTATCTGATCACTGGAATAATCGAGTGATGCGCTGGAGAAACGGAATGCTGTTAGGGGAAATCCTCGTTGGTGGAAACATTCCAGGAAACCTTCCAAACCAATTGAATGGTCCCGAAGGCTTAGCATTTGACGAAGATGGCAATCTTTGGGTGGCGGATTCAAACAATCATCGAATTCAAAGATTCAACATTCTAAAAATTTAATGCCGTCTTATTTTTTGCTATATTCATGTGCACAAGAAAAATCGAACTTATGCTCATCAGCCCAAAAATTAATAACTAAAAATGTTACACAAATACCAATAAAACTCTTCTAACGTAACAAAGAGTGTGGCTGTGTGTGTTGCTCGTTTCACCATAGATAGCCACACCCACCAACACCCACATTCTATCAAAAACTACATTGGTAGAAATAGGAGTGACATTTTTACGTAAACTTGTTTGTAAAAACAACTATTTTATTTGATTTTTTACTTAAAATATTTTTATAGACAAGGAATACCTTCTAATTATGAACTTTTTACATTTGACAGAAATACCTCTATTGACTAAGTAACTCGAATAAATCTTATGAAAACTTTTATAGAAAAAAATAACATAAAATTATTTTTATTCTCTCTGTCTGTAACTCGAGGATGAGGGTGTGGGCAAGGGAGAAAAAGCAATGCCTGGTGGATCCTAGGATCTATTAGGATCCGCGAGGATCCAGTGGGAACCACAGAATCCATCAGGATCCAGTAGGATCCAATAGGATTCAATAGAATCCATCAGAATCTGTCAGGATCCATTAGAATCTATAGAAGTTTGATAGAATGTGTGAAAATCTATTAATATATATGAGCATAAATTTTTTTCTAAACAATATACACAAATAAAGCATATGAACTAGTTTCATATTATTAGCATTTATACCAATCACGTAGTACAGAAATTGTATTGATTATTACGTAACAGATTCATAACTCCGACTTACGTATTTTATAATTTCCAATGCTCAGCGAACTAGAAAAAAAATTATCACTTTTTGGTATGCAGGAAAACAATCATCGATATATTCAGTCGTGCATATTGCAACATGACTGTTCAGAAACATCAGTAATTTTGAGAAGGCTTCATGAGTTCTTTTAAATACAAATGATATTAGCAGAGAGAATACCATATTAAGTTCTTTCTATAGTAATTTTTGTCTAGTTACTTACCACTTGGTATTGAATCGAAAACTTTGAATAATTTGCTAAATGATCTATGTCCTGTGGCAAACTGCCTAGGAATGTAAGCCTGCTATTATTAAGTACATTTTATTCAAATATATATGTATAAATATAGAGCGTGGGTGTGGGTGTGGATGTCGTGAGTTACGACATCCACACCCACACCCACGACGTAGTTGTTCAGGAGTGAACCGATTAATTGTTGAAGGTTCAACAGTTTATTTGAAAGAGGTTCATCATTATTTTATTTTATTGTTGGTTTGATTTTGTGGAAAA